AAAAAGCGAAAGTGTCAAAATAATGGAAGTATTGTTGTATTGCGGAAATATCTTCTTTTGATTTTAATATTTCACAGATGAGTGATTCATCACACAGAAAGTAACAGCGCCTTAAGTGTTGAGTCATTTATCTAATTCCCAATATATTGTTGTAGAGAGTATCAGCTCTAACAACCGAGCTTATGTACAATGATGGGAATGTTGTAGAGAGGTCTTCCAACCTGATAGCCATGCTCATATTCAATAGTCATATACAAATTCTTCCTGTTTGAAAACTAATATTCAATGATTGTTACCTTTCCTACTATATAAGCAGGTGAGCCTTAACGCTTCTCGACGAACAGCGTTCCTCCGAAATCCCTCTCTAAAGATCTACAAACCAGTCCACTGATCAACTCTACCTTTATTATTCACCAATATCTGTTAAGAATAAATATTCCCTAAACCAAGAAGTCTTCCACACAACTATCCGTCGTTGTCAACCACTGAAACAACGAGGACTTCTTCGACAAAACGCAGCTTTCATAATAAGACGTGTTGAATTCACAACTGACATAAACAGAATAAGGTGAAACTTTGTCGTACTAAAATTTTAAAGCTCATCGAAATTCTTTTTATATGTGAATAAGGTGATCAGTTGATCTCATCTTCTCAAATACTGCTGTTTGCAATTAATTAATAATAGATTTCAAGAAAACGCAATATATTCACGGAACAAGAACAAATGAATTTCAATCAACGATGAAATATGCAAATTACAGATTTTTTTTAAAATATATTTCACGAATACTTTGTATATTTTATAAATCACAAAAGTCAACTTTTTCTGAAATTCGAGATAGACTTTTTCCGAGATTCTTTTCTTCTCTTTTTTGCTAGAAAAGAAAGAATACTTGTCATATCTCACAAATTACAATTATTCGTAGTACATCGAGCACAGGAACCAGTACCGCCACTGAAGCGACAAGTTGCTGGACCTGCTAAACATCCGAATCTCTTGTTCGCACATGTTCGTAATATGAATGGAGCTGAAATGACTTAAAATTGCTTTTCTTTGATCATTTTGCAGATATTAACATGTCCAAATTTTTCCTAATTATCAGAAACTATATCAGAAGAAATCATTATTTTCTAATCTCTCGAAGAATCAAGATTGCCCTGCTTCGTTAATCTTCTTTCTCTTTTACTCAGGAAAGGATGAAAACTAATATAATTGAACTTAAAGTTTACAGTTCTAATGGTCAAATAATTAATAAAATCATTTACATTTTATTTCCCACCGAATTTCAGAATTCGTTATTTATAACTTCAGAATTAATTTGAAAATATAAACATACATTTTCCACCTTCACAAATGAACTTCTGACATACAAAATCCTTCGAGCTACTGCCACCACCTTGACAGGATCTACTTATATATTCGAAATTTCTCCCAACATAACATTTCGTTGCACAATCCAGAAATTTAACTTTAATAGGAAAGTATTAAAATGACAATTTTGGGACACTAACTAGTCGAAGTTTCATGTTATTTTCGACACAAGTAAAAATGAAATCATAAAAGTAATTAGGAATCAGTGAACAAGTAATCTTTTGTATTGGAACAAAGGGGTGATGAATATTTTAAAAACTGGTGATTGCAATTAATCAATGAAAATAAGTCTGACTTATTATGAGCTTATGAGAACAATTTTTAAGAAAACTACTTTTATCTTAACCAGTGTATAACTTTAAAACGATCATATGATTCCTGAAATGATCGTACGATGGATAACACAGAAATGATTGTATCAAATATATACAGATCATAATAATATTGATACGTTCATTGTGATGCAAATATTGATCTTCCTGATCTCATTGATGGTTTTAGCATTTTATCTGTTTGAAATGAAAATGAACCTGTTAGAGGGGGCAGAATAATAATTAGAATAATTAACAAGAAACCAAAAGTCAGTGTATCTTTCCTATGCATCAGCATCTGAAACAACTAAAAGGGTAATTGTCGCAGCGGAATTATTTTAATTGGTAGCTTAGATGATAAAGATATAAATGGAAAAATTTTCATTTACTACAAATATTCCTTTTGTCTTTCCTGCAAATAATTCCTTTCATAGGAAATAACAAACATAAAATACTGCGCAATTAATTAAAAATATTTCCTTATATGAGAAATTGTAACAGTTATAACGAATATTTTCCGATAGTAGAAAGCAATGAACAGTATTTTAATGGATTGTAGGGAAATGTGAAGCACTGTAGGAATGAACAACACAATTCATGTCATCAAAGGTGCCATAGTGAAAAGATTGAAAGTGAATATTAAGTTAAAGCAAAATATTGCCATCTAAAGTCAATGATGTAATCATCAAAAAGAGGAAATGCTTTCTTGTCTTATAACATGTCTTCTTGTAGTAGCGTTGTTAAAAAAGTGTACTTTCTGGAAAACACTTATTAATTAGTTGTTGGAAGTGGTGACAATATTCTTATGACAAATATTTTTCATCAGTCGAGCTGTATCAATACGACAAATTCAATCAATCACGCAGTATCAGTAAGAAAGACTATTTCCAAAATATCTTCTAGAAATATGTGGACATGAATTGATGTTAGGTTTTAAAAATTATCAGTTTTTTCATCAATTTATTTTCGAATAAGTCATCGTTCGATTGTAAATCAGTCTCAAAGCATCGGAAATTTTTCCAAAAACTTTCAGCAAATCCAAAATCTCAGTGAACAAAATTATCCAATAATTACCACTTCACTAAATGAGATTTAGTACAGCACGAATAAATTGAAATGGATGCATGAGGTGACAATAGGAAGAATAATTCTTAGAGCGATTTAATCTTTTGAGATGAAACGGAAATGAAAATTTGCAAGAAAGTAATGAATTACATCATGACATGATAACATTTTACAAAAAAAAAAAAAAGAAAAAAAGGTATTTATCGGTGATTATGTACAGAATCAATTTGTAAGAGCGACAGGAAGTAATGAAATTTAAAAAATGGGAATGATATCGTTCCCTTCAATATCTTTCAGTTCCGTCGTAAATACTACAATTTCGTCGTTTATGCGAATTGTTGATGTATAAGCTGGCTGCGATACAAAGGCCAATGGTTGTAATGATAATAAGGGCGAATAATATGCAAGCAACGATAAACAATGGTATCGGCATCGAATGTAGTGCTAAAGAAATGAACTTTTTTCTTTTTTTATTAAATCATGAAATAATCGTTTTAAAATAAACTAATAAATGAGTCGCAGTGAGATTCATTTTGGTAGGTGAAAATTCAAAGCAAACAGAAGTTTTATAAGAATATTTTTAAAGATGACAACAAAAACTATTTGATTGATTTTGGTCTGTCACTCTTCCTCTATTTGCAAGATGGTGTGACACATGAGATGTTTCTTATCAGATATTTCTATCATAACTCTATTGCCTTCGTATTTCTTTCATATGTAAATAACAAAATTTTGCCTTATCACTATTTCCTCGTTTCTATGCCTTATCTTTTTAATCTGGATATTTGATTGAAATGGATGGCTGATTTACATTTTGATAATGCTATCAGTTGTTGCACACTTATTTCGTTAGTGTATGGCAATGTTTTTTTTTTTAAAGTTAGCTTTAATTTTTTTAGAACATATAATCTGTCGCAATCCGATATCATTTAACTTCCACCTTCCTACACCGCAATATCCAAGTAGAAGGTTTGTCATCATATCAGCATAAATATCCATTCCTTATCATAAGTTGTTGTACGTTATTCATTCATAAACAAAACTTCGAGTTTTGAACTGCGATGAATACCTGACTGATCCCGTTTTACATTTAAAGGATGCTTGCACTTTATCCAAGTTGGACAATTTCCAACAGCACAGCATAACGGATCGATGTCCAATTCTGTGATAGTACCCAGTGGTACTAGTTGTGCCATTACAGATTGTCCTGGTAAAACAGGAAAAATTTGCATTTTATCCGGTATTTCTATTGGTTCTGGTTTGTAAATAAAATTCCTGAATCTCCAGCACATTACATCGGTTGCGTTGTAGCACCGACATTGTTTCCTGAAATTTTTAGTCCCGCTTTTGCTACTTGTTCTAATATGAAGTAAATTATGCGCACTAATGTCTATTATGGATTACAAGAATTGTTTCATAGGATTTGGTACAGGTATACTTCAGAAATATAATAAATATTTCCACCCCTGATTTCAAATGATTAAAAATAGATCGATTAAGATGAAGCAAACTTAAAACGATTAAATTTACCCCGGTTGATCTGGCAATTGACATTGTTCCGCGGTACACACTGAGCAGCAACAGGTGTTAGAACAACAAAAATCCATCTGATTAATCCCCAGTTCGGACGTGAAACGCATGATATTAGCAATGAATAAAAAGAGCACTAATCGTTGCCACATTTTTCGAATGATAAGATCAGAAGTGCTGATTGTGGGCAATTGCAATTATGAGGATAGCATTTTCGTTTAAGAAGCGGAAAAATTTATGAAATTTTTATTTCAAAATAGAAAATTTCTCTTTTTCAAAAAAAAAATTGTAATTATATCTTTTTTTGATTTCTTTCTTTTTTTAAACTTCACAGACTTCACAAAAATTGCTGAAAGGAATGATCAGTTTTCAATTTCTGTTCGGAATCAATGGTTTGGTTGCTCATCGATGGCAAACAATCAACGGAAGAATGTATCAGTCGTTGATACTACTCCTCACCTTTCCATTCCATCTCTCACTATCATATGTGAGAATTTCATTACTTGTACACATTTTCAGATGGAGAAATGCCTTTAGGTGAGCTGTAGACTACACAATAGTATCCGATGAGTAATACATTTCCCATTTCCTCTTTATTTTATTTTCCCTTCAGGAAAAGTAGAGAAATTTGAAACGTTCGAAGGTATCGCAGTAAATTTGTATATCATCGAGGTGCATAACATCATTGAGATAAGGGCTGAAGTGAAAAAGCTCTCGTTATCGATAAAATGATCCCACAAACTGATACATCCATATGAATGTATTCTTTGGCTCATTTTTTTTTTGGGAAGATATTTGCAAAGTATAATTAAATAATCGTTCCATTCAATATCTCTGTGAAGTTAAGTTTTTTTNTTTTTTTTTTTTTTTTTTAAATGAGAATATGACTGTAATCATACTTTATTTTCTACGAAGAATATCTGAACATTTAAATAAGCCATATGAACATTATATTTGTGTAAGGTGTTATCAGCACCGGTATTTCTTATTAGCTACCAAAGAACTGGTTCCTGAAAGCAATGTATAAATATGCTATATGATGCACTTGTTATCACAGCGTTATATTCGAGTGAAGCACGTATTTCACGTTGCGTTAGCTGGAACACATCTGTGTGATATTCTGTTGTACAAAAGGTAAATAATGAAATATATTTCAAATAAATGCATTTATAGAATGCTTCATGTGTAGTTTGTCTCCTCCAATTTCCTCCTGATGTCACTTTTAGCTGACTTTGCTAAAGACAACCTAACGGTTGCAAGAACGGAATTTCCCAGTCTTCCTGGTAGAAACTGCAATCGATCTTTCGGAGTAAATTGACTTTCATGTTTTACGCTTGATTCAGAGTAAAGTAGAAAACAGAATGCTGGGATGGGAGAGGAAGACGCTTTGTTTTTTCTTCCCTCGAACCGACTGACATTTGCGCAAATGAAATGATTTAGCTGAGCAACATTAGCCGCTTAACTGAAGCCAAATGTTTTTTCTAGTGATATAAACGCCTCTCAAAAGGTGTGAATTTGCTGTACTCCCTCTTTCCGGACACATTCATTCCGCGCTCTACTCTGTTACTTATCGGTGGCACATTATATTTACACTTTCCTAAGAGCAGTAGTAAATAGAGTAAGCTATGAAATAGGCTTCATTCAGGTCCTTAGTTAACTATTGATTGCCCTAGTTGAACCAGTTTCAACTTGGATCCAAGCCATTACATGTCGGTCACTGAAGCAAATGAATGTATTTCTAACAGCCACCAACATCTGTCCATAGACATATGCACCATAGATAGATAGGAATTATAAGACAAAGAAGCAAACCTTATTAAGCCTACCGAAACCATTGCAAAAGCAGACAGACACATTCATAAACACAATCGCATCTCTTCCCAAGCCCTCAAGTCATTTGTCCTGTTAATGTGTAATTTGCATGTTTTAGATGATGATGATGATGATGATGATGATGATAGCATTTCAATGAAGCCTAAAAGGCCTAAGCTTGTTTGGAATACTTCCATTGAGTCACCATGATGATGTTAGCATTTGAATGAGGCCTAAAAGGCCCAGGTTTGTTTAGAATGCTTTCATTAAGTCACCAACGTAGCAAAATTCAGTCCTATATTCAATTTATTTTATGCTTCAATGTTACCACACCTTTCGCTTTTAGTGGCATACCAGTGGTGCTGTTTAATTAATTCCATGGAAAAAACTCATGCATATAAATATGGCCAAGGTCTAAACATCTTGAATTTGGTCTGGCCTATAGACACAACATGATACGTAGTCGCAGTATGCTAGTATCAGTCTTGTTTTTCAAGGGCTTTCATATACATTTAAATATCGTAAGATTATATGCGATGCACATTTAAGTGGAGTGCGATAATTTGGGCTGAATGTATTAGGAAGCGTAGGAGTGCCCAGTTACGGCCATATTTCATGAAAGGTTTTTGTCCATCAATTGTCATCCATCATTTCAGCCTAACATCAATAAGGACCACGAAATCTCTTTCCCAAATGTCAGCATCATTGAACTAGAATTATTCCCTTTTTTCTTTTTTTTTGTGAAATCCAAAATTTCGGGCATTTTACATTTCCTCAAGCATTTGTCTGCGCTGATTTATCTTAAAAATCCACTTTTCTTCGTTTTTCATTTTTATCCCTGAAGTTAACTTAAATTATTTCACGTGAAAAAGTACAATCATTCTAATGATTAAGCATACAATTCATTACACTTTAATCAATAAATTAAATGTTTTGTAAAAACAATGGCTACAAATAAGCATGTATGACAGTAGCGTCACCAACAATGCTTACAAATGATTTATTCAACCTGATTTCTTTCATCAGTTTTAGTTTCTCTTACAAACTAACTCCTGCATTTCATTTTTACTTACTTTTAATCCATGCTTCTCTTGTTTTTACTTTTTCTTTGCCCATATAAGCACTTATTTACTTCTTACTATAATGTAAAATAAAAATTTTTTGATTTTTTCAAGTCTGCCATCTCTTGAGACATCTAACAACTTTTGGGTTGTTAATTTGGTTGACGTTTTTTCTATCAGTTCTTTTTTTTGGCCATCGAACTTACTCCAAGGATTCTTGAAACACCTTCTGTGGAAATGTAATGATCTAAAGCATGCATCTAATCTAAGTCCATCTTTCTAGTTGTTGTATTAGAACTCAATGGAAGACAAAGAACTAATAAATGGTAATTAATATCATGTAATTTACAATGAATGAAGGGTACAGTTACTGTCAAGAAAAAAAAAAATTGCTCTAAAATTCGTCAGTCTTACCTTTTCTCATTTCTTTTTTTTTTACGAATATTTTGATCATTTAGAGAACATACATGATAAATCGCGTCTTCTGACACATTAATTTACTCGTTTTCTGCTATTTTCTAATAATTAACAATTCAAATCAATTTGTGCACATTTCTCTTTCAACTTGCATCAATATTTAAAGGAAAAAACGGAAGTTTACAATTTACTAATTTAATGAAAAAGATTGCAACTGTACTTTGATATCGGCTAAATTGTACTTTTTTACCTTACCTTTCTCTTCTTTTTTTTTTTCAAAAGTAGCAAAAGTTCTTGTGGATATCATGGAAACTGTTAATCTTCAAGAAATTTTTTTTTATAAAGATTTTAAAAAAATGATAGAAACATGCAATTTCGCATTTCTAATCCATCTATCCAATCATTTGTCGTTTTCTATGTCATGCATCGCATCTTATCCATAGTTGACGACAATCTCTTGTCACTCCTCTACCACCTAAATATGCTTTTTTCTGGCAGGATTATTTTTAGAAGCAGAAATGATAGAAAAAAGGAATAATCAGAGCATAGCTTCCTTTGCATGCAGTCTTGCTAAATCTAATTGTTTGCATTCTCCAAATGCAACGAAAAGTAGAACTGATCAAATGTCAATAAAAAAAAAAAAAACTGACAACAGTTCACAACAAGATTGTCTAATCAAATACGCCTTAAAATTCATGAAACTGTAAGTACAAGTACTGTTCCCACTATTAATCAACCTATTGGTTTACTTATGAAACCTTAGATTTGCAACTTTCTAAGATCCGAAAGGTTGATCGTCTACAAAATTAACCGTTTTTGGAAATTCCTGCTCATTATCCGGATATTATCATATCTTTTCTCTCTCTCTCATCCATCACTTTCTTCTCCATTTCATTGACATAGTCTGTGTTTTTTTGATAATTCTATCAACACTACATTAAAACAAGCAACAAAATACATTGCTAATTGAGAGAAAAAGAAAGAGTGGGAAAGAGAGAAACTGTTTAATAAAGTGAAAAATTGAATTTCTTATTTTAAAGGGTTTTTTCTTTTTAATTTTCCATTGAGTATGAAAATTCTCTCCCATATAAATGAATCAGTCGAGCAAAAAATCAACATTTCAGGACAATTACTTTTTTTCTCCTGCCCTTTCTTTGCTACTTCTAATTTCATTCTTTTTTCATTCCATAAAGAAAAGATTGAAATATATTATCAGTACTGTTGCGGTTCACAAAGGTGCCGACCGGATATCGTCCGGATCAGATCCGTTATTGATCATAAACCATGCAATTTCTTCTCTTCAACATTTGCCATGAATTTGCTGAAATTTGAAAAGACCTTAAATTACATATGGAATCAATTATCCTGAAATATTATTTGATAGAGCGACAGAAGTAAAAAGATAGCAAAAAGATTGTGACTGAAAAGGAGACAATTCATAATAAAAGAATGAATGTGTTCAGTAAAGAAATCCAAGTCTCTAGAACGACAAAAAAAAAAAATTAAATAATATATTTATTTAATACCATATCATAAATGATGAAGTATAAACGATGTTTTTTATTTTGAGAATACATTTCGAATTCCTTTGATTCTTATTACCTTTCATGACTAATGAACTCAGGTAAATTTTATTTCACCTCAATGTTGAAAATTTAAAGCAGTAGCAAAGTTCATTCTTAATTCTATAGAGATTTGAAAAAGATCAAAAAAGGAATTCTTCTCAAATTTCTCCAAAATATACAATTTCATGTTTGCTAACTTACTGATTCCCAAGTCAAATCAATTTTCTTATCTTAAAATTATTACTGCAAGAAAAGAAAAATCTGTTATTTGATATTGTTAAAACAAACTGCTTAAAACTATAGAGGGATATAAAATGCTATCCATTTGTAGAAATTCATACTATTCCTTGCATTATCTTCCACATATATTCCTTGTCATAAAAATTAATTAGATTCAAACTAAATTGCAAATTAAATTTTGTGTTTCTCATCTAAAAATAATAGCAGGGGGGGGGGGGGGGGAAAAAAAAAGGCATATCGAACCATGTTCATTAAGGACTAACGAGTTATCGGATCTGTTTCTTTGAGCCTACATTTTGTTTTTTAATTTTGCAGTGAAATCCTTTAAATCCTCTACAAATAAACCTAATGCGGTAATTAGGCTATTTAGACATAGTTAATGTTCTACTACATTTCAACAATAGTGGGATCCTGAACTTGAAGTTTATCTGTAATCGTGATTTCGCTGATTAAGATTTATAAGGAAAATAAATCATGATTTATCGCGATTTACAGATGTGTGTTTTCTTATATTAAAGGGTATCATCATTCAAGAAATGAAATGAAAAAAGGATGTTTTCATGGAACAAAAGCAATGCAACAAGTACGTGTATGTATTTCCATTGTTACTACTGATTAACATTAACAGATTATTATCAGAAGCTTTATCTAAGCGCTATTTTGTTATCATTATATTATCTAATACAGTAACATTATGCTAGCTTCTCTCAAATAAACCAAATTTAAAGTAAGTGAATGAATGGATACCAAATATAGTAATATCATAAAGTCTAATACATTGACAAATTAAACTTTCGAAAATCCTAGCATTTTTTGTTCCCAAATTATTCAAATGATGGTTGCTTTTAATTATAGATTTTACTTTGTTCAATCTAATTTTCTCAGTGATTGCAGCTACCGAATCGGTGTCGCCAAAAACAACAGCGACAAATAAGAAAAAAGAAGAGAAAAAGGAGAGATTTTTGGGACGATTATCTTATAAACTTGATTACGACTTCGACAAGAACTCAGTAAGTTTTTTTATTTTTATTTCAAAAATCCCTCAATCTAAAACATTATTAAATGATGTCAAGTCTATGAAAATACAAACAAGTTACCGTAATCTGCAAATGTTACAATTCAAATATTAAAAAATTTTTAATTATTTTAGTTGAGTAATAATAGCGATTGGGAGATTAAGGATTACATGAAGGAAGATTAAAGATAAAACACAGCTAAACATATCATTTTCCTTGCTATTGCAAACTGAACTTATACAACAGATACATTTTCAAGAGGCTGAAAGTTTTGAAAATTGCAAAATGATTCAATGAGCAAAGGAAAATTAGGTGACAAATGCATAAAGCATCATGTGAACTTTTTTAAAATTTACAACCGAGAATTATTGTAGTTTTTTGTGACAAAATATGAATACTTACATGAATCGGAGCTTTTGGTGGAGTTTAAAAACTGATGCTTCCTGTTTAGATTCAGTCAATTTCTAACGAAAGCTTTTAACATTAGCATAAATATTTTCAAATCTTTTTTCTTGTTTTGCTTGAAAACTCTCAAAATTGCGAGTTCTTTTTCGAAAAATTGATTTTTTTTTGGCCTCGAAATGAGTTTGAAAAGAGGGAAATTGCACTTCGAGAATGAGTTTTTAATCCAATTGAAAAAATTTTTTGAGTGTAATGCAATTTCTTTGAACTTATTCTTTTCTAAGCAAATAAAAAACTAATTTACGCATGAAAACTTTATGATAGAAGAAAAAGACATTTGAAAGATTGTTTTTAACTCTTTCTATCTTCTTTTAATAACTTCAAATTATTTCTTCTTCTATGCAAATAACTTGCAATTTAAAATCACTTTCCTTTTCCTTCACTTTCCATCGTATTTGACCCGAATCTCACGTTTAAAAGAAGTAATCAACTCTGACTAATGAAAGACAGATTTTAAACAATAAATGAATGAGGTTAATGAATTTAAATTTTATTTGAACGCGAAATTTGTAGCTAACGGTGACTGTCATCCAAGCAGATGGATTACCAGCAATGGATCTTGGCGGCACCTCCGATCCATATGTTAAGCTATTTCTTTTACCGGACAAAAAGAAGAAATATCAAACCAAAGTGCAGAAGAAGTCGCTTAATCCTGTTTTCAATGAAAATTTCATGTTCAAGGTAAATTCAACTAATTTCTGAAAAATATTGTTTTTCAAGTGCTTCCTATTTAAGCAATTACGGTAAGAATAAGTATTGACTGAATGTTAACAAAATCGTTCAAAAGAAATATCTATGCTGGAGTTTTTTTACCAATAAAAATTAATTTTCATTAAAACAATAGCGTTATTATCACGAGTCTAACAGTATTATTTAACAGAATTACTTACTGATAAGACATACTTGCCGTATATAAGGTTGGTATAAAAAGTAAGCATAAATTTCATGTATGGTTGAAATTTACTACATCTTATCAGGTTTGTAAATGCGACTTTTAATTTTTCATCTTTTTTTTAAAACTATTAACTAATTGGTTGCTGTTTTTTTTCCGTACTTATTTCAAACTAAAGAACGATATTAGACAAAGGCATATTTAAGTGACATTTTTTTATCTATGTAGTATCTACGAGCATTTGGCTCAGAAACTGGTAGCAAAACTAACGTGGAATAATTATTCAAGAAGTTGCACAAATAGGAAACGATGACCGGCTACTGATTGGTAATGACCAGTTGAAAGAATTACTGAAGACAAAAAAAGAGACACTTGTTATAGAAGTTCTACAGATAGTCAGCGTTTTAAGAATGTAAAACCACCATTTGGAAGTGTCGTCCTCTGCTCAAACGGATTATGTTGTGTGACAAATTGGGATACGGTAAATTAATTGTGGGAGAAAAGAAGTGCTAGGGTACTGCCTAAAGTTGAATTTGCACTGAAAAAGGAAAAGGCTGCGACCACCCATTTGCTAATCTGTTGCTATAAGAACTTTCTGAATCCCTCTGAAATCACTACATCTGAGAATCCAGCAATCGATAACATCCATTGTGAATTATAATATCTTTACTGGCATTAGTCATTAAGGAGAAAGCAATTTTTTCTTCTTATGATAATGCTTGAGCTCATGTTAGGAAGGAACGCTTGAAAGTTAAACGATTTAGGGTGTAAAATTCCCCACACTAATCATCTATCATAGTTTCAACGTATTTTGACAAATTTTTGCAGGGGAAATGCTTCTATCTGCAATCGCCAGAAAATACTTTCCGAGGCATTTCGATGCAGAAATTTCTGAATGAAATGAATAAATTTATCTTTCGGTAGCAAAATTATAATGATTTTTGCTGTGATTAACAAAAACATAATATTGTAACAATTTCAAATTCACTTTTTAAAGCTTTTTATTTTTTCACAACGTGAAAAGCACAGCGTGTACTTTTCTGCTGAGAATTTGAAAAAACTTTTTGAATATATTTAATTGCTAATTCAACAATTTCTTGTTTACCTATAAAACATATAGCAATAACCAAAAACTGATGAAAAAAAAAAAAAAGAAAAACAGCACTGAAAGGAAAATGTGGAATAACAAAATAACGACTAACTTTCCACAATTCATTACAATTGGTTTCTAAGAGTTCTTCTTTTTTTTTTTGCATAAATGGATCATGCTGTGATTTTTGATTACTTTAATTTTAGTTAAACACTCGCTAACTTCACCATTGCACTTCAAGGAAAAATTTAGCGCACTGATGGAAATAAGCATTTGGCAATCGTTTTCCTCATTTCCGTTTTTTAAATTAGCGATAAATTCTTTACCCTGTTTGCTTTACTTTTATACTTTCCAGCTAGCCATCAGAATTACGGCTCATGCATTTTAATAAAGCTCTTTCAAGTTTAATTCAAATACCAGGCGAATCACTTTTCTTTAATTTAAATATCCTTCAGATACCATACAACGAAATCAGCAGTCAAACGCTAGTTATGAGTGTTTTTGATTTTGATAGATTTGGTAAACATGGTCAGGTAAGCTTCGCTTCCAACATTTCATTTCAGGATTTTGTAATAAACATCAATTTATGAGCGTTTTCATTCCTTTCTCTCCTTTCTCACTCAGGCTTTTTCTCCTTTCTCACTCAGCAAAGAATGTTTTGTCAATCAAATTTTTTCACTCTTAGAAAAATTAGGAAAATTAAAAATTAATATTTTATTACTAAAAGCTACAAGTATATATCCCAATTTATCACTGCTCCTTTGTACCATAATGAATATGTTTAACAATCATATCCTGCGAAACTATTAGATACTAAGAAATTTGGTAATGGTCAGAGGACAATGCACGGAAAAAAAAAAGAAAGCAAACAGAAAACATGCACAATCTCAATATTCAACAATAATTTCAGATAGGCGAAATTTCAATACCTCTTGGAAAGGTAGACTTAGCGACTACCATTGAGAGGTGCGACTTGATTCAAACTCCACCGGTATTTTTCCATTTCTCCAAATGAGAATTATTAGAAATGATTGATAAAAAGATTCAATGCTGATAAGTTATGATTTGGCAAGTGATAGCTTGGGAAAATTAGAGGATATTTTTTCCATTATTTACATTATGAATGTATTTTGTATTTTCACTTTGTTGTAGGACAAGTATTAAAAATGGATTGCAAGCAGGAATTATTAAATTCCATTTCTTCAATATAGCTCAGCTTACTGATATAGACTTTCTATGGAAAATTTGATGATAACAAATTAAGATTGAAAGTACGAAGTTTTGATAACACAACCAGAGGGTAAATTTCTAATTGAAAAAGAGTGTTTGGAATAAGGTACGAATAGATATGATTTCTTGATTAATTTCAGGAAAATAGGTTAGGTGAAGTATGTCTAGCACTTCGTTATGTTCCAAATAAGAATAAATTAACGGTTGTTGTAATGGAGTGTAAGAATTTGAAAAAAATGGACGTCCTTGGCTTATCAGGTTAGTACTATATTCTAAACTAATTAATACCGTTTTCGGTATAATAACATTTTATAACACTTATTGAAATATGCATGGTGTCGAGTGAGTGCAGTAAAATTGGGAGTTGACATTATCAGATTTCCATTTAGGCCTAATTGATGCATATTTAACTTCACAGTAATAAATAAAGTGGATGAAGTATGTTTAACATTTCCTAATGTTCCAAATAATTAATTTCTTAGTGATAGATTTAATCATTTCAGTTTAAATCCGTATTGCAATGAGTCAATCATCATGGAATCATTCTGATTTGATTTTCAGATCCATACGTTAAAATTTATTTGATGATGCAAAAAAAACGGTTAGAAAAAAAGAAAACGACAATTAAGATGAAAACATTAAATCCATATTATAATGAGTCATTCAGTTTTGATGTCAATCCAGAAAAAATGCAGGTAAAATGAGTGCTACCAGCGGGTTTGGAATTATATTTTAATCAAATCTTTTTCAGATAGATTCAAAGAAGCCTTATATTAAGATAAATATCTGAACATGATCATTGGTTCTCTTCTTATTCTCATGTAATTACAACCATGTCCAGTCCCATGTTTTTTCGACTTGAGCTTATATCGCACAGAGTCGAAGAGATCTTTGTTGAATACTTCCGGACCACTTTCCTTATCATCACCTGACCTTCCTTATCTTGTACACTGGTTTTTGAATACTAATCTAATTCTGCAACAAAGAAAAATGTAAAGTAAGATTGAAATAAAATGAAATTGGAAAATCTCAGTGCCACTCATATGTTTGGCTTTCATTTTAACTTTTTGTTCAGCTAATAATAAATTTCAGTCAGCTTAATATAAACAATCCATTTCAGCGGGTACATTTGCAAGTGACGGTTTCGGATTACGATCGTGTTGGTTCCAATGAACGTATCGGTCACGTTATCATTGGCAACAATGCTAATGGTGTGGCACTGAAACAATGGCAGGATGTCCTTGCAACTCCACGTCGATCCGTCGCCCAATGGCATATGCTGATGCCATTCAATGATGATTAGTGATATAATGTATGCATTTCTTGACAAATCTTTGTTATTAATCTGGATGATTCGTAACTTCTCACTTTTCTGATAATCTTTTATCATTCTCATAAGCCCACAAAAACATCCTCTTGATAATGAGGACAATCCTATGGCCTATTTTTACTTCATAGAGAAGTGATCAGTCAAGTTAACGAAATCAATAATTTTTAGTAATATTGTAACACTGAATTCTATGGAGATATAACCGGACACAATCTGATATATGTGTTATTCTATTTTTAATTTTCAATTACCATACAATTCCATTTCATTCTAATATTCATTTTACAAATGATAAGTCTTTAGTTCAACTCCAAAATTTGTGAATTTTATTTATTTTTCTGATTACAATTAATGTGATCTTCGATTTTTTTCTTTTCACTTTATATTCAATTATACTAGCATTTTATGACCTTAAACAGTTCGTTACAAAGTTTTATGTAAATAAGTTCTTTTGATAAAAATTTTTGAATGCATCACTGATTTTTTTTTTTGCATATTACCTAAATAAACAATATAGATATTCAGATACATCGATTACTTATTACCTCTGACATTCTTTAATCCTTATTTAACTTTTACGTGATAGTTACATCATCGATTGTAAATAATATTTAGCATTTTAAACTATACAAAGTATGAATCATTCATTCAGTGAATTTATTGTGCCAAACGTTTTCAAATGTTACAATATAACTTAATGATAAGCAATTTTCTAAGTATCTCTCATATGAAAATAAAAAAAGTTAATTAATAGGAATAACTTTTGCTAAAAATTTTAAGTTAGATATCCCTACCGTTTTTTTATCTTTCATGATTTATATTTTTGGACAAATTTCTCATGGCATATTCTTTTCATATCTTCCTGAGTTTTTACTTATGATTTACTTTACGACTAAGAAATATATTTTTTCATTTGTAAACAAAACATGTCACAACTTCTAATACATTAATTAAAATTATCACCAAAATTATCAGAAACACTTTCGAAGTTATCATAATCACTGGTAGGAGAGGAAAACAAGCAATTGTGAACTACAGAACTTTTTGGCACCTTCAAAGAGTATCATTGGAAAGCATACTGTACCGACATGACTGATTAATCTATCAAACCTTTAATCTTTTACTATAAAGATTAATTAATTCCAGATGCGAGAAATGTCCCGAAATTTTTTTGCAGTAATATCACTACTACTGCAACTATTTCAAATTCTAAATGTTCACTGTTTGAGTTATATATTTCGTCGCGCAAATGTCCTAGAAAAAGCGCAATATTGGGAAAATAATATCAGTCCATGCGAAAATGATCAAATTCATTTCGATAAAGGAGAAATTACTGTAGCATTGATTGCCGATGGCTTGCATTCGCAAAAAATTGATCTTCCGAATAATGGAATTTTATTTTTTGGTAAAAGGACGGAATTGGGAAAGCCCGGCAACTGGCAATGTAAGAGAAGGCGAAATGCTGAGGGTGAAATTTCCTCCTGTAAAATATATTCAGATGGATAAAGAAAAAATTCGATTTTAATTGGGAGACCGATTCAGTGTTCCTGCAAAATATCTTTAATTTTTTTTGGAAAATGTTTTTTTTAAAAAAAAAAATCGGAATTTTGGAAAATCAGAAGTTTTAAGCGAGTTTTTCAGGAATGTTAAATTAGTTACTTAATTAAAATCAAATTTTCTTCTTAATCTATAGCATAGTGATAATATTTTTTGTTTTTTATTGAAGTGAAAAAACTGTAACACAAAATTAATCCTCGTATTATTTCTTTCACTGGGAAAATTATAGGATTTCTCAGGGATAAGACTTGATCTTATCCACTATTTAATCTTTCATGTCCAATAATATCAAAGTAGAAACAATTTCAGAAGTATATTTCAAACAAAGTCCATCATTGGGTTTCTATAACGGATCAAATTGGTTGGTGTCTAAGGATGGGATTCTATGGCGGCCAGCATTGCATGTCCTTCAGGTACCATCATCTCAGGTAATATGATTCACTTTAAAAACAAGTTGTAATCTAGTCTCCTGAAGCTTCATATAGAGTACAATTCAGCGAAATATCTTGAAAGCATATGGAATGTTGCTGATAATTGAACTATGAACTCTGAACTCTTACAGTAGTTCATTGACTTCTTACATTATTCAGTTTCTTTCAGGATACTGCGATAATTCCATCAGATAGTGGTGCCAGAATATTGCTGGAAGATTTTGTTACAATTGGTGCATTAATATTAGCTGGTCAGGTAAGTTACGATTACTTGCTTCTCTCGTTTCATTTTACTTTTCAAGCACAGTAATATATCCTATCTCAATTACTATTTCACTTTGTAAGTTTGATGATCTATTAATTATCTCAGAAACAATAAGTCTCTTTCTGATTTAGAAGTGGTTAAAAATATAACTGGAAAAAGAAAATCTGACTTGAAAAAACTTTTACTAAGAAGTGTTAAAGGATGCTGTTATTTATCGTCCTAAAAAAAAATTCCACTCTTTTTTGAAAAATTTCAACTTTACTTCTTTAATCATATTCAGTAGTATAAATAAATTAGCTTTTGAAATTCGCGTTTGTTACTTCCTCTTTCTTTTTTCGTTTGGGCGCATTTGACCGATTCAAACAATTATTTCATGGACGGCAATATTGATCTGTTGGAAAAAGTTAAATTTAGGATGAATCCCGACTTTCCACTTGTTCTTGCTATACTTAATTGTGTAATGAGACTGCATGAAAGCATTTCAAGTAATTAAGACAGCACCAACTATGCAATTTTAAGATTTATTGTAGAAAATAAATTTCAACACCAAAGATATCATGGAAATGAAATATGATGAAATGTCAACTTTGTCCTCATTTCTCTTATCCATTCAACACCTTGGATGGTTGATGTAGCGAAGAATTTCGAATTGGCTGGTGAAAAATGAAAGATTTTACAATGGTATGAGTATCGAAAAATACAAAAATACAATTTCAAATTTCAAATTCCATAACTTTATTCATCCTACCTCATTTCCATCATAGCATAAAGCTGCCTGTAGCTTTAGTTTCAACAATTGGGCAATCCGATTTATTTACCAACAAATTCAACAAACCTTTCTAGTTGAAAACAATCAACCATTGAAATCCGTAGCGTATTTGTTTTAAAATCTCTGCATATCAGTAAACTGATAATGTGCAAAAATCAATGAATAACAAGTAGATTCTACTGCACTTGTAATTTGATAGATTCCTGAAATTGCATCCCATGGATATATCTTACCCATAATGCGGGAAGCAATATCCATTGTAGGTTATATCAACACAGAATTGTTTCCCTTTAAAACTTCCAAAAAATTTTATTTTATTTTATTATTTTTTTTCTTTTTGAAGCGACAATAATGTAATCAAAAAATAATCTCTTAAGAACTAATCAATATTAGTATCTTTCAGTATTAAGAGAAAAATGGAAATTATTTGGGTAGTAATTTATTACATTCATTTCTAATTCCAATTTGTAATTTACATTAAGGATCATGTACCTGAAAGTAAATTGAATGCCAAAATGCATTTTCATTGAGATTCCTGAGTGATAATATTCAGTGATAATATTAATATTCAGTGACAACAGTGATAATATTCAGTGATAACATATTTTTCTGAGATTCTAAAGGATTATTGCGCCGATACGAGAATTGTATTTTCTGCAAGAATTTTACTTCACTTCAGTACTCACTTTACTTCTTTTTGGGCCTTTTTTTACGTTTCTACCAAGAGATAGTGCTGTTGGACAAGTTAATGAAGTTAATTAATTATAGGTGCAAAAGGAACTAGAGAAATGAACCTGTTATGTATTTGGTTTGGAAGCATGTTGAAATTTGAATGTTTCATCTATCTTTTTTCCCTTGTTCAAAATTCCGCAAATTCGTCACAAAAAATTTAATATCGAAAAATTATTTGACATTTAATTATACCATGAATTGTTAATTTCCAATAAATTTTTGGCAGAGAATTTCGAAAGAAATATCATTAATAAATTCAACAAAACTAGATTAGTTTAATTTCTAAGAAAATTTTCGGCCGATTTTTACAGTATAAAAAAAAATAAAATGAATGTTAATACAATAAGTATGTTTATGCAAAAGATTCGTAAGTCACATGCATTGAATATACTTTCCATCTCTTTCAATAGGCAAGAAATGAGCAATAGCTTTGTTATTTTCAAATGAAATTTTACGTAAATCCAAATTTTAGCATTGGAGAAGTAAACATTGAAAGTGGGATGATAATAGTTGGAAACACGAGTTATCAAAAATATATTTTAAATTAAAGTTTTGCTATGTGACGCATTGGAAATGATCGCCATTTACTTATATTATTTTTTTCGGGATGAAATTTTGAAATATTTTAGATTCTTGTTCTTTTTTTTCTAGCTTCTAATATACTGCTAGTGAACAAAAGTTATCCAACCAGTTTTCATTGTGAGTTATAACTAAACTCTCACGTATTTTTCAATTTATGAAATTAGTCTTGAGATATGACAGCTTATCGGTATGGAAAAATTAAATGGAACAATTACGACGTCAAGTTTCTTGATGTTAAGTTCTTAAAAGGACTAAAAATTAATTTTAAATTTTGATGAGCGATATATTATCAATCACTTCGACATTACTGATAGTTGAATTACAGTTTTCTGTGTTCAGATAATTTCGTAAAACGTTTACAAGAAAGTTAATTGTCTAATGAAGCTAAAGACAAATGAATAATGAAGTGAAGATTCAATTAATTCATTCTTAAATTTCTCCTTCTTTTAGACTAAACAAAGAACATGCAAAATAATGAGTGTTTGATGAATACATTTCACTTTTAAAGTAAGCAGCATTGTCAGCAAAACTGTCTTAGATTATTTGCTAAGATAATAAAAGATTGAAAAGAATACCGATGAAATAAAAGATTCAACTACGTACAATGTTAATTAATCAGTATTCATGTAAATGTTAAATTTTTAATGCTTTATAAGCGCGAAGTGATAGTGAAGTGATTCCTTTGTTTAAATTTAAATTAAATTCAAAGTAACTTGAAAATTTTACTCTTTTCACAGAAAAAAATTTGTTATATCATATTTTAAGCAATAAAAAATAGTACCAGTTGAAATCGCTTGAAATGCGATTCAAATTTGAAATACAATTTTTTGTAGAGAATTCTAAAATGTAAAATTCTATATTAGAAAATTAAAGTAATAAATCAATGGACAAATTAGTTAGCTTAGTCAAATCAAAGATTTGAAAGGAGCTAGTTCATAGGAAACTGTCTGAGTCTATATCAGCAACTTCTCAAGTTTCTTCTCCACTTCCTTCTGATTGCGCTCCTGTCTCATGTAATATTTTTACAGTGATGTGGTACAATTGGATTTCCTGCAAATTAGGAAGATTTGATCTCTTTAATGTCGAGAAATTAGCAGGCAAAACAATAAATATCACAAAGGCTTGATAGAAATATTTTGCTGATTGAATGATAACTTTAAACTTTAATTTGATTAAGTGTAATGAAACTTCCCGTACTACGATAACTCAGGTGAATTGGTTGCAGGCCATAAACAATGATACCTTCAATGGTTTACTTTTGCGATCCATCGAAGGTCAATTTCAATTTGATTTGGCTCCGAAGCTTAAATATGTGCGAAGCATTGATGGTATCAATTACCAATGGCATAACTTCAAAAATACTGTGACAATTACAGGTGAAACGATGGAGAAATACACTGTAGGACAACTCAATAGCAATTTGGAAGCTGAAGTAATTGCTATTTTGAGCTGTTAAGTTTAACTCCTTATAAATAAATTATGAAGATTTGAGATTTCTAAATCTTTATAACACATTAATCAAAGTACGAATCATAACGATCAACTTACTTTTGTTAACTGGAAATAAGCTCGTCCGTTATTTCTATAATAAAAAAAAAACCCTGATTTGCGATTCGACATTGTGAAGTATTCCCGAGTTCTGGTGTTTATGAAAGCATTTTTCTGTCAGGAATGGTAATTTCTTGCTTAGACAAGGTCAGATAAAGAATGCGGCGAATAAAGGGAAAATTCACAGTTCAATTCTTTAATGTTTAAAGCGTTTATTATCCGCGTTCGATCAAAATTTGTGATTATATTCCAAAGTCAATAAATCATTTAATTTTAGATTTGTAACAACTTATTTGATGACAGTAAAATGTTACTTTCTTTCATAAGGAATTTTTTGTTTCTTTCAAACTCAAAGATACGCTATTGATATCAATCATTGATTGCCTTTTGATATCCATCTCGGCAAATCTTGTAATTTACTTAGGTTAACTTGCAGAAATTGGCTTTAATATGTTCCTATCGGCAATGTCAATCAACAACAGCCTCGAAATGCAGTCGAACATTTCGACCAATCGGTCATTGCTGTGAAATATGCGGTAACATTGAAAATCAAATTGACTGAATAGTTAAAATAATAGCCAAAGGAGGGGAAAGGGAGAGAAAGAGACAATTTTGTCTCATTTACTTAAAGATTCCTATTTTGAATTCAGAAATCAGCCAGAACTCTGAGGGATAAAGTCTGCTGGACAATCCAACAGTAGCAACATAGCAATTTTTTTCTTTTTCATTACTTATAAGCATGAAAAGGTTACTGAAAGATCGTTTGATAAAAGTCTTTTTTTTTTTATTCATTCCCAGTCTTTATGAATTGATGTTTTCTTAGTGAAAAGAACTGAAAATTTGTTTGCACTTTCGTAGAACATAACTGTTTGAGATTTAAATAAATTTCGACACTTCTGGTAGTGTTTTAGAAATTTTTGTGGAAAATGAAATGAGACACTTTACAAAGAAACTCTTCAGGGATTTGAAATCTAGGAGTTTGCTGCTAGTATAATCATTTTCACTACTGCCTGGAAACAATTTCCTACGGGATTTAAAATCCCAAAGTTTGCTACCAGCACTTTTTTTTTCAAAATCTTTCACTCTTAGGTTCCATGCTTCGTTTTCGCGCAACAATCTTCAATTTTAATAAATTTCAAAAACAAGTGGAAAATTATAAACGAGAAAATCGAATCGTAAGGGAAAACGATTTGGAAATTGCTAGTCTACGTATCGATCATAGTTATTCGTTGCCACAATACCAGGTAAAATGAACGATGAGAATGTTACGATCAAGGAAAAATATAGTAATCATACAATTTGGTTTATATATAATTTTCAATTATTAATGCTCATTTGCGCATCATTCAAGAAGAAAATATTTGATAATTTGTTCGGAAGTATTTTTTGCATTTTAAAAACTGAAACAGTTGTTGAAAGGTGTATGAAATGTAGTTACAATATCAACATTTCTTAACGAGGAGAAATTTTCTCTTATAACTTTGATATGCCACACTTAAAAGGTATAAAACAAGTAGTTTATAAATAACGATCGAGTAATTTGCAGTATCAAGTATTGCCTTGGTTATTGTGCTCCCAGTTTTAATTTCAGTCCTTGTTATAACAATTTACTGTTGAGATTGTTGTTCTTGCTCGAGAGGACGCAATCCGTCCATTCAATGAACAAATCTATTATGGCGTGCTGAAAGATTTAGCCGGATTTGTGCAGGATAATTTCGGTAATATTTAAGCTTAAACCATAAAATATGAATCAAATTTAGATTACCCAGAAAATTTGACACTTCGTTTTGTTCAGAAGGATCAGTCTATGCAAGGAAGCTCACGAGGCTCATCTTTAAGCATTCACTTTTATCCACTATCAATATCATCAACCAATCTACTTATGCTTTCAGTAGTACTAAGTTCCGTAGTCAAAAAATGTCTTTGTCCTCAGTTGATGATAATATTGAAACATAGGCTTTATCGATTAATTTTTGAATTAAAGTTATCAGTTGGTTACCTTTTAGAAATTTCAAATTCAATGGGTGTGGTTGAAATCGAGGAGATAACTTCAGTGGATTTTCATAGCTTTGTTAAAGGTACTGTTTTCTTTAGTTTCACTAACTCTTTTTATCTCTTTGTAGAGAACTCTGTAATATTTCCTTGAAGAGATAACAAACTCAATTTTATCAGTTGGTTGGTTTCAGAATATCCCCTGATAATATTGTTGATAACATCCCAATCTCTCTTACTCTAGAGTATATCATTGTTATTCCAGATGACCTTGTACTGGCTCTTATTTCACTGTTTGCCATCGGTGCAATTATCATTGGAGTCATTCTGGTAGTTGGACAAAAATTTGATTTTATCAAGTAATTACTTATATTGGTTGTCTGCTTTCAAAGATATGAAACTAATAGTATTCTTTCTAAATCAATTGGAATTTGAGGAGTCCTTATTCACGAATAAGTTGAATAAACAATTTAATTCTAGTTTCCGAAGACTACCGAACCAGAATTCAATCTATGAGAAAGTTTATTGGAGAGGTGCGAAAACTGAAAATGAGCTTGAGTTGCTACGTAATGATGGATCTACTTTAAATAGTGTCACAAACGATGCTCAGGTTATTAAAATTTCTAATTTTAGCCACAAATGTGAAACTTGTAAAAAAGATAAATATATTGTTAATGGAAAGTGAAAAATCATGAAAAAGGTTGAAAGTTTGGTAGGACTAATTATTCAATGTGAAATTTTCAATGGAAACTGAAATAATACTTCAACATTTTGTTCAACATATATACTTCAACATTTTGTTCAACATTTTGTTTTGCTCTTCTCAGAATTCGATGAATTCAACGCCAGAATACAGTTCCACTTTTGAAAACATTGCTTTCGATGGGAAAATTACCGATGATATTAATGGAAAGTAGTTGGAAAAAAATGTAAGAACTTTAAAATACGCATTTTCAAATTTTCGTACTTTAACTTTGCTAATAAGCATCTGTATATTATCTGTTTCCAAAGCTCTATAGTGTCACCAAAGGTACAGTTTTATTTATATCTGTATAGATTACAATGTCAAAATATTGCTGAGTCCTTTGACAGAACATTATCTGATGGCGTATCATAACAATCCATTCCACGAATGTTGCAGAAAGGGCGCAAATAATCTTTCATTTTACCATTGAAATTCAATGCTCAATGCAGAAAATTAGTTATTTATCAAAATTTCAACAAAGTATTGGCGAAAACAAAGATGAAATAATCATAATTTGGTGAAGTGTAAGTGTCCATTTATATGTGACTCCTGTTGTAATACAAGTTTGAGAAACTGTTTTGCGATAACTAATTACATTAACTGTATTATATGAGCTTTCACTTGTAATAAAATTATAATTTCAAATGATCACTGAACGGAAACAAACCCGTATTCCGGAAAAAAATATTCATTGGATTTTTATGTGCATTATAAACTCGAAAAGAAATTAAACAAAAAGTGCTATATGATTTTTTGGCTTTCCCGGAAAGCCCTTGTCATTTTTACCAAAGAAATTTTCCATCTCGTTTTAAATTAGAAATTCACTGTCTTTCAAGCGTGGTTTTCCAGGAAAATCATTACTATATAAAATTCTATGTGAGGTGCTCAAATGTACAGTAAAATTTGAAGAAAATCAAGAGGTAAGAAGGGAAATTTAGAAGAAAAATTATAATCTCCCACATAAATTCATAAACAAAACATGAATTTTCAAGTCCTTTCGTAAAATTTTCTCAGGAATAAATGCAAAAAATCGCCCTCTTTCGTGCTTGTTTTCGTTTTTTTTTAACCAAGAGAAATTGATGAATTGATAAAATTTGAATTGAAGAAAAACAAGAAGTGTGGAAGATAAGACACCATTATAAAGTAATAATGAAGATGGAAGCGATTCAGTGAAGAGATGCGGCAACCAATGAGGTATGGAAATTGCGTGAGATAATTTCGCATAAAAGATTCCTCTAAATAAGTTCCAAAAAATAATTCGAAATTTAAAAAGGAAAAAGGATTGCTTCTGAGCTTTCTTTTTTCCCATTTTCACTATATATAACATCTTATAATCAAAATATATCTCAAAGATCCCTCATTTCTCCTCACTACTTGAGTACCTCGATAACTTCACATCCACAAATTTCGACAGTTATCTTACAAATTACTTCGATGAGCTGCTTGTGATTACCTTTATGTGACAACTGATCCATTTACTTCAATTAATTTTTCTCCCTTCATTATCTCCTTTCTTTCTTTTTCTTAGCCAGTTATCCCATTTGGTGTAAAGGTTACATTCATTAAAATACTGCACTTCACTTTTTCGCTTTTGGAACTTTACGAAACTCCTCAGGTACCTCATCCAGAATACTATACCATGTACCAACCGGTTGACGATCCTGAAACACTTCACACAATGGGCAATTCTAGCAAGGATTCTAAATTGATAAGAAGCGTCAATATCAATCAGATTCCCACAATGTTTATGCTGCAAACATTCCATCCGCACATTTTAATGTATACCTTTTGCCTGAACACTCTTTTCACTCACATGCCGCAACAATACGGTAATCAGCAACGACTAAAGTAATTCAGTAATTCCACGAATATTTCGCAATCCATAAAAGTTTCCTAAATTCCAACTTTGAAAGCTAAATTAAATTGCCAATGAAGAAGAAGAGTTAAATTTCATACCGAATCGTCGCAAATCGCATTAATGGTTAAGTCTCTGAAACAATCCATCCATTGTTTCCTGCCTTCTGGCATTGGACTATTATTACCAATGACACAACAACCAAGCAAATCATCATGACCGATCCTACAAAGTGTCACATAATCACATAAAACTTTGAAGCGGTGAATATGCAAATATTGCCAGCAGATCTCTTAAAAAGTATTTAAGCATCAAAAGTAAAATCCATGTATCTTAGGAAGATCACATAAGTGACAAACAGCAAGAATTCACGAAATATTCTAAATTAACTCTTACCTATCCCAATCCATTACTCGAACTAACAAATTAGTCCCTTCAATTTCATTCAAAGGAAGATCAAATTCAAGGCACTCGTGATATACTGGATTTAGATTAGCTCGTTTGATTGATGTCTTACGTACTTTTACCCGTCGTCGCTGGTATATTTGTTCGATTTTAACGTAAGGATCTGAAAGGAAAATTGTACATTGCTTATTTTAGTTAAATAATCTTCGATTATTTCTGAAAAAAAGATAGGATTAATTTAATTTCCTTCCCAAAAATTAAACATTTTCCAAGTTGTATGATTTCTGAAGTGCAAATTAAAGCCAAAGAATTTTGTCACTAGTACTGGGTTATCGGCATGTTTGAAAAAGTCGATATTATAAATATTTATCAGAACTTACTCTAACCTTACTATTACGGGACTTTTTTATCAAGGTTTAAAACAACAAATGCATACCTGAAGCACCCGTAATATCCATCGGTCTTAAATTGTATGCTTTTGAAACCGTAACGTACAGTTTCCGATCAGCTGTGGAATATGATAAATAAACCAATAAGTCACCGAAATCATCCTTACCCTTAAAAAAATGCTCCAGTCAAAACTAGCAACAGGATTCTAACTGAAACATAATGATTCAGAAACCGAACCGGAGTGCTGATAATTTGCATAGTATGTTCAGTCCACGTGCTCAGTTCTGATTTCTCGAACAAATCACGCAAGATAACGTTGCCAACGAGACCATGTCTTGTGAGACGAACGAAATTGTACACAGTAAACTGCAAAAATTCATAAACTTTTCATCTGCCTTTATTAACATAAGGAAAGCAAGGCGGGTGAGCTGTAAGATCAATTGTTGAAGAATTATTTGTGAATATAATTAGTTCAAGATGGCATTGACCGTTTTGCCTTCAATAAATCCAATTGTCTTTATAAATCTTATCTGCCAATTCTTTTACTCTAAAACGTTACTACTTTGTTAATATGGCTAAAGACAAAATTAAATTAGTGAATTGAGCAGAAATGCATTTCAATTTGAAATAAAACAGTATGCTTTCTTAAGGTAAGGCAGTAATGATATCAATTGATGGATTGATTATTCATTAATTAACCTGAATGGAATAAAATAGAAATATGCATATGGAAAAAAGCGATCTTATCGCTGAATGTTTCAAAAACTCACTTGTAACATTCTGCTGGATAAATTAGCGTAACTGATATCAAATGAAAACATTTCGTTGCATTCTGGATTAGATGAATTCTTGAAAATACGAGTTTTATATTGATTCCGCCTTTCCGGTAACAGACACAATTTTACGTACGGTTCGGAATTCTGAATTTCTGTGCTGGTTAATACGAGGAAAAAATTCAAGCAGAAAATTGAGATAATAATGACTGGTCCTGATAATGTTTACTTGAAAGTTCCGCTGAAATTTCATAATTTAAGAATCAATTTGACTTTAAAAGAAAATCTTCAGATCATACTTCAGCAGGGATACCGCTGGCTCGAATGACATGGACCATTAATACCCGGTGAATGAAATCATAGCGAAGCGAAAACGTTAATGTGCCTCTAACACAGCAGAGATCGGGAGATTTCTCACAGAATCCAGATTCATAATGTTTAACAGGACATCCATCACCTACCTGAACCTGTAATTTCCAATCACTGACGAAACCTTCTACTAAATTGACTACAATGTTTCTTTCAAGGTAAGGCTTTGACAAAGGTTTTGCTATTAAAATATCTCAAGGAAATTACAAGGAAAATTGCCCGCAAAATGTGTTATCATTGCAAGATATATATGTCATGTCATGAAATGTCACGTGATGTTACTTATCACTCACCTGTGAATCATCAGCTTGCTCGTTGTCCATAATTGTTGAAGTTTTTAGCAAACCATTGTGTTTCGATTCCGTTGCACTATGCCAAAATGAACTAACACGATTAATTAATGACTTCTTGTGCGAACTGGAAGAAAATGAGTAGAATTGTAGAAATAGTAAAGACATCGAAGTTTCGACGACGTGAAATTTTTGTATCTAAAAAAAAAACAAACGCAACAGATGAATACCACACGCAAGGGAAGTAGCATGTGCTATTTCTAAAACTGACTTATAAATTTTTCTGCTTAAATTAAAACATATCTATTAGCTTTTCTCACAGAAACCAATCATAGAACTGATCCGAAATTTTCAAAAGAGGTAAAATAAGAACCAAAAAATTAAAATAATAATAGTTCAAAAGTGAAAAAGATAAGGGAATATTGTGGTAAGGAAAAACAAAATAAATGAATATAAGAGAAACTGATATCATCCGCCTACAACCCGCATTAAAGGAAAGTCAATTTTAAGGATCTTAATTGGAATGAAATAGATATGTTGGTATAATATTGATGTTTTGGACAAAGATATATCGGACATTTTGAAATTCAAATGGGATATTGACAACTGGGAATTAATGAATCTCTTCATCCTTCTCATTTTCTCTCTAACATTTTGCATAATTTTTAGCATAAAATAACTTTGCGGTTCTTACATCAATATTTGATGAGAAAATTTTTCATATTTTACTTAGAATTTAATGTTATCCAGTATACATTACTGAAAATATAAACTTGTTAGAACGAAGAAAGAATTTTTTAAATCTTAATAAGAGAAAAACGTCATCGGATCAGGAGAAAATGATGAAATTAAAAGGAAAGTCGAATGTCTTTTTCAAAGGTGACAGCTCAGTAAATCATGTAAGATAGGAATAGAATGGCTGATTTAAATTTAGATGGAACTTATAAAAAAAATTACTTTTCTACGAGATATGAGTTTCTACATTCTCAACATCTGTACTTTTAATAGACATTTAAATGAGTGGATATGAAATCTAAATAACATTTCTTCATCAATGTTTACTGATTTTATGTGGTACTTAAATAAATAATAACTATTTCGAGAGGAACAAACACTTTGCATTGAACAAAATTCCTTTCAAGTATAATTCGATCAATGCATCCCAAACTCTTCTTGATTTATTCTTATCTCTGATAACATTATGTACCATTAACAAGGGATTTTCAATGTATGAAAATTGCAAACAAACTTTTCCCGTGATGAAAACGATGGTTGTGAGAAATCGATATGTTCTTTGTTATCATTTAATGGCGAATGTTGCTGTTCATAGAATTCCCATATTTCTGCAACATCTTTCATCTCATTAATAAATCAAAAAGGTGTTTGGAATGTTTAAGTATAACATAGTGTTATACTGTTCATTTCTTAGTTACAAATGGAATACTAAATGATAAGCTTATTGATAGCGTGATAAAGTATAATCGACACTCTTCACATTCTACAATAATTGTCATATTACACGAGCATAAATATATAGACCGAATCATGCATACATCATAAGCTATAATCATAAGCTATAATCATTAATAGTAATTATTATTATTATTATTATTAAGAATAAATGGCATACATTTATCATGTAGATCAGCTGAAGTATATGAAAACTGTGGATGAAATGGATAAGTAAGAGATAAGATCGTAAAACTTGAATATATTCACACAATTTCAAATCTCAGAAATAACAAGATTTATGTGAAGGTGAAAGAAAAAGTTGATTTTCATAGTTCTTTCTGGAAAAGCCCAAATTTCTTCAGTAAACTGTTATGGAAAAGGTTGTGAAAAGAAAGAGCAGTTCAGTTTTTCTTTTTTAGAAATCGGAAAATCAGTGACTCTTTTAGTACAAATAGCAACTGTAAAGGAAGATGAAGCAATGTTTATTTGTTTAAATTTCTCGAAATTTTCATGTTGTTTAATAGCTCAGTGATACTGAGGAATCACACGATAAAAGTTAATACAAAATGCGACTAATAAAGTTAATGAATCTCTGCTTATCTAAAAAAAGAACCTATTCCTGATATTTGTTGAAAATGTTTAATCAAGACTATAATTACAATAAAATGTAAAAGTTTCTATTGGGGAACATTAAATTTAGTAGAAATTTGCATAACCTGTTCAAAATCAGTAAAGGTCATCCTGTCCCTCACTGAATTAATTCTGATGCCATATCAGGTTTGTTGTCAGAACAGAGCTAAATTCTTGATGTCAAAAAATTAACAATACTTTTAGTTCTTCACTCCTACACAACAACAAAATGTTGTAACTGCAGGAGTGATAAGTCCAATTTGAGATTAATATTTTTGTTTGCCGGGCATTATGATGGAGGTGTAAACATGTGCATAACTATTCCAATTCAATTTTTCCAGTTAATTTGAAAAAGAGTAAACGTTGAAATTTCATAAAGATTCTTCCTCTCTCAACCACTTCACTACTGTGCTACCTAAAAAAATTCGTCGAAAATCAAAAATTAGCCATTGAACCTTTATTTTACTAGGATTGAAACCAAGAGTGAGAAGACCACTAAATGACCATGCCAATAGCATACCAGCAACATAAGGATACAAAATAAAAAAGTCACGAACATTCTGAAATATGTTAACTTCCGAGGGATGTGTTACTAGCGGAAGACTTGACATAATCAAATTCAAATCAATAATTTACAATAATAGTTCTTTTCTATTGAATAAAACGGACTTTTGACATGAAATTTAGAACTTTTCACGAGAAAATATTAGTCTTACACATGCAACATGAATATCAGCGACCGATGGGATAAGAAAGTCAGCATTTGATCTTTCAGCATTAAATGCCGATGGAAATAAATTTTAATCTGTCCCACCCTATTCAGTTAAAAGAATCGTGGGAAAGGAAATTTTCATTTCCCCTCGAATGGTCAGGATTATTCCCAGAATTCTTTTTGACCAAAATAACTTGATAAAGCTTACCAATCTTTTTTTTGGAACATAGTTTGATATCTTTTTCTGATATTGAAATCTAAAGAGGTATTAAAGTCAATGAGAAATGAAAATTATCAGTGGTAGAGAAAAATAAAGAAAGGGCTATACTATGATAAACGATTAATGTCACATAATAGGCAAATGATCAATGATTAATGTTATATGATAATAAATAAACCTATTTGATTAATGTTATATAATAAGTAAATGTAATTGAGTAAAGCCAAACAACATGATAATTTGAAAAAGCTGTGATAATTCGAATTTGTTATTTGAACTTTTTAAATTTTTCCGCGTTTAAATAGGTCTGTGAATTTTATTCTTTCCATAATTGAAATGATTTTACTGTCATAAAAAGTACAATAAAAATTATCAGCTAGATTTAAAGCCATAAAATCCCTTGCCAATTTTCAGGAATATTGTTTGCGTTAAATAAAAAAGAAAAAATTCTGCACGAATGAGTGGTTCGGAGAAAAATTCCCGTTGATTATGTCTCCTAAACTTCTTGTCAGGAAGTTAAGCAATTAATTTTAAAGGTAAATAAAGGTTTTAACTTCAACCTACATTTTTACTTTATGTTGATAACTCCCTGGAACATCGCACTGATCCTTAATGATATATATATACTATGAAGGCAATGGGGTTAAAAAAGGAAAAACTAATGTGACTAGTTCAGAAAGAATAGAGTTACACTTCTTGGCTTGATAAATGCATCAGGCAATCGATACACTTGAAATCTTACAATAACAGCAAATTTTCAAAGAAAATAAAGTGCAACAAAAGTTCGTCGAATATATTCTCGAAAATATGAATGATTCCGTTGAACATTCCCTTACAGTTGATTCTGAATCAATAATTCCTAAATAGGTTGAATAGGTCAAACGGATGAATGAATGAAACGGCCGGTACTATAAGGCATTATTAACTTGTGACGAAATGATACTTCACTAATTAACTAAATTTGTCTCATGGAACATTTGATAAAACAGCTTAATCAATTTCTCATCATCCATTACTTCATTTTCAAAATTCACCTTTTACAAAGTTTAATAACCAAAGTTTTACGGTTAAAAGATGATAAAGAAATTGTTTCAAAGCAATTGTAAAAATTGAAAACTGTCAAATATTGTGCTATTCTCAACTAATTCGTCTTCACTATTTATCAGTTCTTAATTAATGGTTGCAAAAAATTGCTATAAATTGAATGATTTCAAACCAACCCCTCTTCAATTTAAAAGAAAAAAAAAAGACAAAACTGATCTCGGCTTAAAATACTAAATGTGTTTTGAACAGATCTAAAAGCCATTTAACAAATTCTTAGAATAACTCTTTACTAATTTGAAAGAATTCCACAGCTTATAAAACAAATAAAAATCATTTAGAAGTATACCAAATCATTCATTAAAATGCAATAAAACATTTCGGAAGTTCTTTTATTGCAAAAACTTCTCTTTTAGGTTATTAATGAGGATGTACCTATCCCGTCATCGTCACTCTTGAAATTTTACCTAATCTCGATCAAAATTTGATGTCAAGAAAGCACAGTAGTTTCCTTGGAGAGATTTTGAGGAGGGAGGAAGAGAAAGTGGGAGAGAGAGAGAGAGATAAGGTATTAAAAGTTTCAAAATGACACGCTGAAGTAATACATAGTGACGTGTTTGTCTACTTTTTTTTTCAAAGATAATTTATAAGTATGCTCCCTAAAGACATTATTGCCAACAGTGTAATATTATCAATTGAAAAACAATAACATTTTTGTTTTGAAGGCATTTTGCACAACATGATTTATAACTAACGAAAAATACTCACAAATGAAACCGGTCGAGTCCGGAATTGTCCGGATTTCCTGATCATTCTAAATGCTCTGCATTGCATCTTATAAAAAGAAGTTTATGTTACAGTAAGCTATGTACGTATAAACTATCTGGAACTGTCCAGTATGGTATAGCTCACCTTTGGATGCAACTGAAAACAGCCGACTACCTTGTAATGATTTTGAAGTGTTGCATACTATTTGAA